CCTGCTGCAGGAGAGGCGTTCCACCATAAATAGGGCTTTAATGAGATCCGACAGGCCTGATTTCTCTGGTGATACTGTGAAACAACACGACCGATTCTGATGGTTTGGGGTCTTGACCTTTAACAAGGACTCGCGACGCAGGGCAACCTGCCCCAGAGAGATGGAGGGGCAGGAGGCCACGGCGACGAGGTCGGCAGATAATGAAGTGGTCAGCATTGGATTTCTGTCACTCACGGCGGTTAAGTACCACAGTGAGGGACTTGAGTAAAAGAAACTGTGAAAGAGCACACAGAGAAAATCACAGAGACCGGGGAGTCGGGGGGGACGCGGTTGCCTCTCACCGTGAACTCCAACAGTCCGCGCCACTTTGGTAATGAAGAGGGTGAGCGCGGAAACCATGCAAAGAGAGCGGGAGGACACGGAGGGAGCAAGAGAGATTAAAGCCAACAGGAAAGGAAATCCAAGGGGACTCGTCACTGGAGCAAGTGCTGCAACCAGCTGCTGAGACCCAGAGAAAGGACAAGAGACAGCGGCAGCGGCAAAGCTGAGCTCTGGAGCAGAGGAGACGGAGGACGGAGCCCTTGGTCCCCCAGCCAGCGCCGTGTCAGCCGTCTGTGGCTGTCCAGCGGTTCCAGCCCTCCCCGGCGGGCAAGGACGCTGCCCAGCGCCGCCCTGGCCCGGGACCTGCTGGCCACGATGGTTGTGGACCTGACGGCTGCCTGACCACGCGTCCTTCAGCCTCGACCCGACCCTCTGCTGGGAACTTCTCCGAGGCGGCAGCGGTGGCTTGTCTCCTTTTACCTTCCTTTGTGCTGCTAGGTCTAAATTTAGTGGGATATTAGCTAAGAAAACAACCCGTTTGGTATCAGCCTGCCTGCTGTGAATTCAAAGAGCAAAACGGTTAAATATAGAGGAAACCAAGACCTATTATTCAGAAGGCACTGACAGGTGATGTGTCCAAATTTAAGATCTGTTTCCTTTTCAAGTGTGCTCCTTTTAAAACTTACTGTTCTAATAGAAATACTTCACTGCAATTTTGCTATTGCATCTATCTAGGCTACAAGTGATAGAAATTAAATGCATCTGACCCAAACACTGTAGAATTGTGTTACTGCTCACAAAATTAAGCTGACTGGAAACAAAAGTGAAAATCGAAAGTCTGGACATGTTATTCAACTTAGATAGGATGCTAAAAGCAACTAGAATGATAAGTGATGAGTAGGAAAATACATTTAAAAAAACACTTTAGACTCGGTAGCCCAAGCTGTCTTTATTTACATGAAGAAAAAAAATAATATATTGTTTTAGCATTGCTGATTCCCTTTGGACGTGTTCAAACTGCAAGGCCTGCAAAGAATAAAATCGTTCCGTCAGATTCCTACAGAAGTTTCTTATGTTGACCAAAATAACCTTTAGTCTCAGCTCTACAACTATGAGAACGGTTGCAGGGAGTGACCTGCATCCGTATCAGCTTCAGTCAAGGACAGGTTTGCTCTTTAGTTGTTTTTTCTTTATTTGGGTGTCTTCTTGTTGCTTTTTTGCTTTTGTAAATGTGAACAGTGAAGCCAGGCAACCTGTTAGAGAGGTGAATTGCATGATTACACTGCGTTGTTTTAATTTGTCTTTGGATGAATTCTCATAAGCTTTCATGAGAAAATCTCCCATTAGAAGCATTCATTTAATTTAAGAACAGTTGGGAGAGGAAGGGTTGAGATGACAGATGGAGACTGTGGGTGTCTTATGAGAGAGAGCTGAGCTTTTTGTATTTATCTTTTTGTGGCACATAGTTGCTGTTCTCTGCTGCTTCCATTTTTTTAATCTGTGCTTTTTTGTGCAGTATTTCTTAGAAATCTCTCCTCTTTTGTACTGTAAGTCTAATAGATTTCATTAGTTTTTCCTGTACTGTGTCAGCTTCAAAACATAGCAATATAACACAGTACAGGGATGCAACCTGGTAAGAAAGCAGAATAAAATAGGCTGAGCCTCAACACGTGGATTTCAGTCCAGTTTTGAATTGCGTAGTGTTTAGCAGAAACCCATACTGAAATACAGAACTGATTTCTTCTCTAAATCATCTTACTGATTGTCCAGCAAGTGGTAGGCGCGTGCTGAAGGCAGTTTTCTAGCTGTGCCCACGCCTTCGCGGTGTAATTAAAGGTTCACTGTCAGCAAGCGGGCTGAATCTCACATTTCACTTCTATTTAAATTAGTATAAAAGTAAGTATAAGGTTTCAAAGCACTGGTCTTTGAAAAGCATGTGTATAAAAACTGTAGGATGACTGAATGCAAACGGGCGCTGCCGGTGCTTGTGGCCCAGGCAGCTCAGCTTGCGAAAGCTGCAGGAAAACCAAATACCCTTACTGGTGTAAGTCAGCCAGGAGCAGAAATGAGGACAATAGCTTTGATTTAGAAATGCCTAAAATGTCAACGTACACAAATACTAGTACGTTCATATGAAGAGTCCAGCTGCTGACAGTATTTTGGTAATCAGGTCCCTGATTCGTGACTTACACCTCTTTGAACGGTCTTTAGGTTACAGTGACAAATATTTTATCCTGTGCCAGGCCCCTTCACAGAACTAATTAAAATCTAAAAGTAAAATTAAATCCTGTTAAAGTAAGATGGAAAACAGTGAAATGTTTGTTCTATATAAAAATCGCTTTGCTCCGCAATAGAAGCAGCAAGCTCTAAATATAGGGTAAAAATTTCAAACATAGTCTGACTTGTTCTCACTGTGTTACACATGAATTTATTTGCATCTCGATGTGCTGTCCCTGCGTTTGCATGGCATACAACAAACCAGTTGATACGAGAAGCAAAGTACATCCATTAGGTATTTGCTACTTTTCCATGGAGTTTTTAGCTTAAGATGACCAAACCAGAATTCCATTTTTTTCCTTACCCTTCACAATTTCTGAATGATTCGATCATCCTCTGTTCAAACAGCAAAACCTCTTTTCCAAGGCTCCGTCACCTCTTGCTGATTCCCACAGCCACTTCTTTTTGTCGTCCCACACGTCTCAGTCCATATAAAATACACGGCCATAACAGTCTTTCTTAGTTCTTGATTTGTCCGTTTTATCCCTTCAGATCTCTTGTTCTTCCTCCATCCCTCCTTCCTAACAAGTCAAGCTTTAAGTTCACCACCTCCAGTCCTTCCCCTTCCTGTTTAAGTTCGTGTTCCTGTAGTCTCTCCATCAGCTTCATCAGAGTTTGAACCTCTACACTTATTTCTCTTATTCTTTTAATCTCATAAAAACATCTCCGTACTTTCTTCCATCCGTATCATCTATATCACTTCCCACAAACTGAACTGCAGAGCTTC